CATCCTCCAATGACGACGCCATCTTGCACGAAAGGTGGGCCTTAAAACGTCCCAATGAGATTGCAAATGTACGGTAGGACGATTCCGAGGCGCGATGCAACGATCGCGAGTGAAGAAGGGGGAAATTGTACGATGGAAAAAAAGAGCTCGGAAATCATGCGCGACCTCTGGGAATTGACGAGACGACAGGGGTGAGAGAATCCGAGCACCGCGCTCCGAAACGAATACACTTCTCGACTTTTTTTCGCAGCTTCCCCGTCTGGGAAGCGTGTCTCCCCGTAATTGAAGACAAATTGCTTTAAGAGTCCGTAACTGCAAAAGTGTGTACTCGACGAGATATCAATTTTGCAATTCTTACTTCTGGCTTGTGTACTTAGCAAGAAATTAAGAGAGCGCTAGCGCGCCCTCGAAAAAGTATATTATCACAGCATAAAAATATGATTTCACACACAGAACGCTTAGTCACAAATGCGTAATAATTTTGCAAAAAGTTAATATTTTTTCTCCGTTTCTTTACACGGTATATTATCTAATGACTTTCCGAATATTTGAAATCTCTTACGTTATCGATTTTGAAAAGTTAGTTTTTATCGACCGATATGTTGTGTGACACGCTATCAAGTTTGTCAGCTATTGATTGATATTTACGACGATTTGTGAAAGCTCTGCAACGATTTTCGCCGATATGTATAAAGAAGTGAAACGCAAATTTAATGTACGAGTCGCGCAATATTATATTTGCGCGAAAGTCGTCAACGGGGCAATGAAGTGCAATATGCGAGCACACCGTGAAAGTTGATCGATAAGGATCTAAATGAAAGTTGTATAGGGGAATATATAAAGCGACTCGCGCTGCGGAGAGTTTAGCCACTTTGCGTAGGACCGACCGGTTTATCAAGAAAAGAGAAAGACGCTTTGCATATTACGTGTTCTACGTCTCGATTGGAAACTTATACGTTATAACTCTTAGGGAGGAATAAAAATTAAAATTTATCACTATGCAGAAGCTCGAGTGCATATTAATATCGTATATTTATGATCATCATAATATCGTTGAGAGTGCGATCGTTAATTTTATCATCAATTATAATCTATTGAATTCTTTTTTATATCGTTTACGTTCAATTACATCTCAATTAAGAACACACTTCGTCTTATCTAGAAATAAACAATGAGAACGATCTTAATCTCTAATTTGTGTCGTGTTTATTTTCGGAAAAGTTGTAAAAGTTTTCTCTCGCGCGCGGATAAAAAAATCGCGAATAAAATAATCCGAAAGAGAAATGAGACACTGCGTTTTTTGTTATTCAGTGAGAGTGTAAAGATATGAAATTCGGTTCAACATGTAAAAACCAAGTGTCAACGTGTTATTTCGAGATAATTGGGAGCTTTTTCCTAGACGAGTCGCATTAAATGTTGGAATCCCACGAACTGTGATTTGAAAATTCTACGGAACCTTGCCGCAGGAGGAGACAGGATAACGTGGCTTACTCATCCGCATTTTACCCCCAACTATACTCGTCATAATGATACAAGAAAGAGATTTAAAACTATAAATTCATAAAATTTTCACATAGAACACATTAATTTAATCAGTATTACTAATTAAATAAACTTTACGTCGAATATCTTTATTAAGTTTTTGTAATAAAAAAAGTGCAATCTGTTATATCGTGTTTTACGGCTGATTTAACGAGCACGTGCTCCACTGCGGTTTACTTTCGCGAGACCTTCGCATTTTACCCTCAAGTCCTGACATTCTAGCAATGCCATGTTCAATCAACGACAAAAGAGGCAGAATACGTAATACCTTGAGTGCCTCGCCTGCGCGCGGTATCCGTGCGGGAGTTACGGCCTTGATCCGCGCCACAAGTTACCCTCTCGTTGCCGTCGCCGAGTATGCACACATGGTAAAATCCATGCGTCGTGATGCGCGGTACCGAAGGCACGAACACAATGCGCGGTAATTGAGTTACAGAGGCATGGCGCGCGCAAACTTCAGCTCGAGTGGTTCTACACGTGGTACGGACGACGATGAAATTGCAGATACGACCGGTCTTCTCGAGGCAGAAGATATGCATTTACTGGAACGCGCGACGCTAATAGACGAGAATGTGAATCGATTGTTACCGTTTTTTTCGAAAAAAATTCTTCGAGATTTTTAATACTTCTTATATATCTCTTCGAAGAATTAAATTGTGAAAAACGTGTTAATTTAAGTATTATTTATTGAGATAAATTATTTATTAACGTTTTGATAAGAGAAAGAGAATTAGATTGTTAAATATAACTCTTACATAAGTTTACAGGATCTTTCCGCGTATCATTAGCGCTTACAAATATTATTGAGGAAGTATTAAAGTAATACACTTTGTGCGCGTATTCAGTTTTATCTTTATGTCGATTCCTTATACAACGTGCTTTTTACTCGTCTTTCTCTATAGTCGCCCACGTGTATGTAACACAGCTATGCACAACCGCATCGCGAAGCAATCATGGTTTTTTTTGTAAACCGCGATAGTCCTGATCGATTATTTCTGATTCGAGTAATAATAATATGTGAATGTAATTGCTCGGTGTCGTTTAGAGAGAGAGAGAGAGAGAGAAAGAGAGAGAGAGAGAGAGAGAGAGAGAGAGAGAAAAGAGAGAGAAAGAGAGAGATTAGCTATTAATTGCTTCCCGCGGTGTATTTCATATGATAGGTGTCATTTATGACCGCGCCATTGCTGCGGCGACTCGAGAGAAACAACTTGATATTACTTCTGGCGCGATTGCATGAGTCCTGCAGCACGACGTTTGCGTTTACTAGGTACGTTACGTGTTGCGATTCCATTAGATCTTATGAGTTATGTCTGTTTTTGTGAGATGTAATTTTTCCATTTCGAAAAAGATTTTTTAATTCAACTTTTTTTTATTTTGCATCTATAGGTAATGTCACATAGCTCAATTTGATTGTAAAATATATTATTTTATTTCATATTTATTTAATTTAATATTAAATTTTATTATATATTAATTGTGTGTGTGTGAATATCTTATTTTATATCTATTTAATTTTCTTTCGTGTTATGTATCTATATAAACGTAATTAATTTTTTGTTTGATTAAAAATTAAATTTAAAGTTACTTGAAAGCGACGGAAGAGTCTAGACATCAGAAAATATATTTACACTTGAAAGTCTGATTTTTTTGAAGTATACAAGAATTGTTTTCGTATGAGTTGACATTTGCAATTGAAACATTACATTACACAGTCAAAAAATATTCCTCTTTTTACTTCTACAAATAGTACATATATATTTCTGTAACAAACTCTAGCATTTGTAGAACTATATTGGTCGTAGTTCTATTTAAATGTTGTTCCATTAAAGTTATTCCATTAAAATGCGTTTTATGAACAGCACGCGTTATATTCAGTAGTAAGGCAGAAACTAGGGATGAGCATATGATATCGATATATAGACAATATGGATATAATTCTTTTGATATTTGATATTTTAGTATCGATATTCTGTTATTGATAATATCAAAAAGATATCGATAATTTTATTTGATATTGTCAATATTAATAATTATTGAATATATATATTATATATATTCAATAATTCCGATCAAACAATGCGATATTTAATATCAAATAAAATTATCGATATCTTTTTGATATTATCAATAACAGAATATCGATACTAAAATATCAAATATCAAAAGAATTATATCCATATTGTCGATATATCGATATCATATGCTCATCCCTAGCAGAAACTCGAGTACAGAACAATAAAAGTGGTGCCATCTCTTGGTTATTTTATGTATTAAAGAAATCATTACATCATTTTCATTATATCAGACACACAAACGCAAACAAAAAGATAGATGTTTAGATTATCTTTTCCAAAAAATTATTCTATATCCGCATTAATAGCAACTATGCCAAGAAATAATTTAATAAATAGATAAAGTTGCAGACAGCTGATGTAAAGAAATAATTTAATAAATAGATAAAGTTGCAGACAGCTGATATAAACTTTCTGATGACGTTATAAAAACTGCGTAAATGTGAAACAGAAATTCGTTCCCTAACAGCACATGTAGATTCTGAGAGTGTTTTAAAGATATCGTAAAAGTATATTGCGTACTTTCTAGAAACATTCAAAATACGTATTGCGATATACTAAGTACATACTAAAAATACCACTATATCCGATGTTTTCTGCTTCTCACTACATACTGAGAACACATCTTTTAGTATGTATAACAGAGTTGTATCTTTTAGGGTGATATATTCATACCTAGTCGGATCTTACATTTAAAGAATCTCATATTAAGTCTTTATCTTTAGATAATGTACAAGTAGGCTTATTGGCTGCATAGCATCTAAAGATAAATTTAAGACGATCTTAAATAGAAAAATTGACTATGAATATCGGCTTTAGTATACAACTTTAAGTATATTTACAGATCAACATCTAGAATATGTCAATAGCATATAAATGTGTGTGCGCATAGAAAGAGAGAGAATATAAAATACACTTATGACAAATAATTACAAAGTCACAACATATGTATTTAGAATTTCTCGTGCACACTTACTTTTTTAATAAAAGAGGAAACAGTCATAAAATACACGAACAATTACTTTTTTGCTTATAATTCTTATAATCTTGATATATCTATGTCTTGATTATAGTTCTGCAATTTATCTTGTTTGTAAGTTTGGTAATACGCTCAAATAGAAAAAAAAAGAAATGTTTTTTAAAAAACCATCTAAAGGCGTCTAAAAGACACAGAATACATTTAAATACATTCTAATAAAAATTAGTAACAAGAGCAACAAATATAATAAGTAATATTAACAATAAATAGGACAAAAAAAGAACAAGTTACCTGATATTGTTTTATTGAAATCATAAATGAACCTTAAATAAACACAATAATATGAAAACACATATTTTGAAAACTTTTGAAAAACTAAAATATTTCTATAAACTTTTTATGCAATTTTTCACATTTTTATAATATGTTTTACAGATATATATCAAAATAAATATGAACAGATCTCTCTGCACGTGTTGTTCTTAACATTTCAATTTGGAGTAAGTAAAATTGCAAACAAAATTTAGTTTAGCCACACAAAAATAGTAAATATGATCAAAAACGCCAATTTTGGCACAATTAACCTTAATTTTCTCTGAAACCTGATGTCGTAGATAAATTTCGCTACTGGATTTTTTTTTTCAACGACCAAAAATCCATTGGAAGACACTTTGTTTATATATATATATATATATATATATATATATATATTCAGATCCCAAAAAAGTAGTGAATAGTGTAATGAGTGTAAAGAGTAAGACGTGCTTTTTTTTGTCCGCTCAATTACAATTTCAGTGCAACTTAGTGCAACTTTAACAAAAAAAAGTGAACTTGAAATTTGTTTGAAATACCATTTAACAACACGTTTTATACCGTTCATAACAATCTTTTCTTGAAAATATGAGTTAAATCCATCACAGGTTCGGAAATAAAACCTCATTCTAAAGTTCTACAAATGTTTTAAAATTTGAGAGGTATATTGGGCCAGTATTGAGGATTCACTAAATCTTTGTGCCTCTCCAATGTAGCTTGTATAGCAGTTTCCATAGCTAATATTTTAGGACCATCATTACCATATAACGATTCTGCTTCCTTTTTCTTGGTACTCATAATTTCAGCACCACCAACAACAGAGATATCTTCTGTTTCTCTCTGAGGCATTTCTTTCTTTTTGAAATATTTGCGTTTTTCTTGAAGCTCTCTTCTGTGTCTCTCACTTGTCTCAAAAAACTTCAACATATCTTCAGTAATATTAAATTCAAACTCTTCAGTATTTGAATGAGATTCTACTTCTTCCTGTTCTACGTTATCATCTTCATGATAATTATCATTCTGAGTTGTAGTATTGTAATGATTATGCTGCTGAGCTAAGGATCTCAGTTTATTACGCAGTACTTCATTTTCATATTCAAGAGCAACGCAGCGTGATCTCCACCAGGTTATGTTATGCCTGCAAATGTGATAATTTGTGAACTTAACTATTGTTTCTTTTACGTGGAGCTGTTTTTTTTCTTTTTTTTTTTGAATAAACTTACTTTTTTTGCCATTCCTGAGATGCTGCGTAATTTTTCCAAAAAGCGTCTGCACACATTGTTCCCATTGTTAACGTTTTACGTGCGTTGAAGATGTTTATATATTCTGAGAAAACTCTCGTATGTTTACCAGACCTAACCTCACTGATATCATGCATCCGTTTTCTTCTCAAATGTCGCTTTTTTCTCCACTTTCTACATTTACGTCGTTTCGTGGCAACAAATTCCATACTTCATTCGATACGGCTTCTATTCTTTAGAAAGGTCAAGCCGAGCTTACGGAGTGTTCAACATCGACTCCATTGTTCGCCATAACCACAAAATCTATAGTAAAAATTTGTTTTCAGAGCAATTGGAAATAAATTAGTAAATAATTAGCAAATTATGGGAATAAATAATAAGCAAAGTATGAAAATTAATAAGTTACTAAAATAATAAGCAAAAACATAAATGTTTACTAATAAATTTCTGTTGAGTATGTATACTTCTTTCAATATATGTTTTTTCTCTCTTTTCATCTATCAAGACTTAAAATTTATGTTCTAGAAAAAGAAAATTATGTTTCAAGGTAGAAAATAATATACAACAAAAATGTATGAAAGAGTAAATAGGTGGCTTTTATTAGAAATATACAGTTAATGTGAGGCTTTATACAAATCTAAAAAAAGAGCCTTTAAATTAGGTGAAAATTATGCTTATATAACACTTGTCAAGAGAGGTCAGAAATGTTATTTTCATCTGAAAGTCATACTATATTGTGTTGCAATAATGTTCTTGACAAAAAGTGTGTCTTTTCACTAAAACATCTTTACATATATTCATGTGTATTTTTACACATATACATAATACTAAATATGTATAATTTCTTTCCTTTTTCTTTTTTTTTTTTTTTTTCTTATCTTCATAGTCTCATATTTATATGCACAATAATAAGTTATAAATATCTCAAAATTCAACTATAATATTAGTTATTTCTCAGAATGTATTCCAATACACTTATATGTCTTAGAATTTTAAGTTCAATCACAATCAGTCAATCACAATATTTAAAACGAAAAGAAATCACTTCATCAATAATTGGATGAAAAATTTATTTAGATTTCTTTTATCATATCGCTTTAAAATATTGTTGCTCCGATCTAGCTTAAAACTCTTGTAGGAATTGTCAACAATAATTTTAACTTAATAAGACCTACTCTTGTCAAAAGTTGCAACAAATTTTCTTCATTTGAAGAAAATTAGACTTTCAGTCATTTTTCTTTATCAATGACTCATTATGAAAGTCCAATCGTGACCTCATATATATGACATATTCAATCCACGTTCAAATGATACTTCGTCGTCACCTAATTTAACACTAGCACTGCCTGAACTATTCCTTCTTGAGTTGGCGCGAACTTCATTAGGAGATGTATTACCAGATGCATTATCGCTATTTTCATTCGTTGATTTCTTATGCAACGGTTCCAGTCCAATAATAACGCGTACATCATCAGGAATCTGATCAGCCATGATAAGCTGATAGTAAATACCTTCCGCTTTGGATATTGTCCAAGGTAACTCAATATTAAGCGATAAGTCGTTTATATGCTGTAGATAACATTTATAAATTAAATTTTGATTATAACTTATTATACAACAACTTATTATAATGATTGTTAAAAACTGTTTGGCATTACCTTCAGAATTTCCGTAAATCCAAAATTGTTTTCTATTAATAGATTCTTTTCCGTGTCTAAAATAGCTGCACATATAAGCAAATGAAAATTTTTGCAAGGTAAATCCGTCCAAAGTATCTCCCATAATTTTAATATATCGATCGCGCTAAATTCACGCTTAAAAAGTACCAGCAACCATCGAAAGCAAAAGAACATGTTGCCAGAGTCGTGTCTGTTTAGATAATACGCTAATTGCGGTTCAGTAGTGGACAATAAAGTATGTAATTGACATAATTGTTCCTTCATGCCTTTCTGATCCATTTCAAAATTAGTGCTCTGTTTGAAAATAATACAAATTGACAGTATAAATTTTGCAAGCATTGATTTTGCGCATTACTAGGCAAGAAATATTTATATTTACCACTCTATCCATGAATCCAACAAAACACCAAAACGCATCAACTTCATTATCCATTAAAAACAATATAGGACTAAGAAGATCGCTCATACCCTGAACGTATCCTAAATCGAAATTGTACATTACATATGTCATGAGTATGTCATATAACTGTTCCAAATGAGGATTGTTATCTCCAGCGTAATAAGGATGTGTTCTGTCTGTCCTATTAACATCCTTCTCTAAAACAATTAAAAGATATGTATATATTTTTACGTATATAATAGCTTGTCTGCTTTATTACCTATCAAACTTTTTCGTTCCCTATAATCCGAAAATCGACTCTCTTGCGCAGATGTGAACGTACGCCATTGTAATTTCATCGCAAAATATTCATCAGTCTTTTTCCTCTTTATTTCTAATCTTTCGTTATGTGTCGAATTCCATGGATAGTAATTTAATAAAAATTTCCACACTTCAAAACGCAATGATGGACAAATACCCTAATAAATTGTCATATGTATGTATCATATTTAAAATGTTAAATATCAGTAGAAGAATTATTAGGATATTTACTCCTCGAAAGATGATTTCTTTTATAGCTTCTGAATTAATGATTCTTCCTTCTGAATCTTTACTTTTTTCCCACTGTTCTTGTGTTAATGGTGCGCCTGAAATATAATATGTAATTATTTCGTACATACTCTATAGTATACACACACACACACACACATTATGTATTTATATATATGTAATTTTTATAATAGTATATGTTAATATTTTTACCGCGCGGACATGGCGGTCGCGGAGGTAAATCTACTCCGACTCCAATCATTTCATATTCATCGCCAGATCCTACGGACACAGAAACACGTGGAGGAGGATCAATCATATTTGACTGATTCATCAAGTCATAGACTGCTTCTTCGACTGATCGTTTCACTGGTTGCTCTTTATACACTGAAATTTTACAAAGAGTCAAGAAACTAAGAGCTTCTGTTTGTAATTTTACTTTGATTTCAAGCTATATAATGTATCCACTTACACCAGATATCAGCAAGTTTACTGAATGCTTCCATTGTTGTTTCATAAGGATGATTGTGCAAATTCTTCACAAACCTCCATACATAATCCGAAGTGTTCTCTTGAAACAAATCCAACTCGGCAAATGATTTTTGCAATACAGTTTCAACTTCATTCATAACAACATACAAGTTCTTGTCCATACGTGATTTGTCAAATTTAATAAATCCTTTCAAAGAATTAACAAAACTTTCAGCATTAGACAGCTGAAAGAAGGCAACATAGGTGGTACCATCTCTCTGCAAAAATATTATTTGCTGCCCACTGTGATTTACACGTAATGACTTTAAATCAGAAAACAATATCCTGACAGTTCTTGTATGTCCAAGGGAGTCTGGACCTTCTGAGTTTGTACGAGTTCTTCTTGTATGTGTGTCTACTAGTGACCATTCTGGATCTTGATCTTGACACTCTGATACCACAGAGTCTTCTACTGGTCTCCATTCTATACATTTGCCAAAACTCTACAATAATATTAGCAACTATACTCAATATATGATAGATTTATATAAATAATATTAACTGTGCTCATTGAGAAATTCATACATATTCCACAATATTAAGTGTTCCTAAACTATGAACTTCATCTTCTCTGGCATTTGCTCCACGAAGCACAACACCCGTGTGAATACAGAGATCCTAAAATTATCAAAATCATTACTTAATCTCTTCTTTATAATCAACATTTTATAAAAAATCATCATAAGTATATCTCCTATAATTTGTAGCATTTACATAAGTATCAACAACTTATTTTAAATGATCAATCATTATCCAATAATGGACACACGCGTATTGTTTATAAACAGATTGCGAAATGTCAAGGGCAAATTGTATCAAATTTGACAGAACGCGAAAATTATAATCTTTAATAAGATCTCGTAAATAATCTTTTTTTTTCGCACGATCATCTCGTTTTGCGATTGTAATAAGCAAAACAAGTTGCTCCGAAACTTATCGCGTTCTCGCGAAATACAAATAGTCGCCAAACCCTAACCTCGAATATTTTGAGCAAAAATACGCGGGCGTAACTCAGGTGTGAGTGTTGTTTGTACGCGATTAATCGAATGCCATTATTCCAAACATTGTTCCCGCGTGCTAAATCGGATCGTTGCGTTTTCTCATGTGGAACACGCAACGTAACGCACACCGTGGGCGGGTGTGCTCGAGGAATGTCATCATGATCGCGAAACGTGTTGTTTCGGGCCCGAATCATCCAACGACACAACAATTTTTTCGACGGATCTTGCCCGGATGATCTTATTCAACGTGGCAGACTCACCTTTCCCTGCTCCGTAGGCTCGAACATCTCGGACCTTGCTCGATCAATCGTCTTTCTTGCTGAATTCAATTCGCTGCACTCGCTCTCATCGCAACTATCCCACATCGCGGACTCTGTTATCGCCGTCCCTCTCTCGCGTTCCTTCTTTCGCACGTTACGTGCGTCAATTCGCTGTCTCGCTCGCACGCCACGATTATACCGCTTTATACTCTGCTCGACTCTAATTTACCTCGTGTTGTTCACGCATTGGCATGCACGGCGTGGCGTGTGCAGCAGAGAGAGAGAGAGAGAGAGAGAAAGAAAGAAATATTTATGTGCATATATGTGAAATAAACCTAAATACTCTTCGTTTATCACGTATGAATCGTGAAAAACTCGTCGAAATGAATTGTCTTGTAAACTATTTCTTTATTGCTTGCAGATACATCCAGTAAAGTCAAACATATCACCAGAGAGAAAAGAATGAGAGCGGCCAAGGCCCATAAGAGTTCTTACGATCGCTTTTCCGCACCGTAAGCTAGCGCATGTCCACGGGTGGTACACATTGGCACCTACATGGCGATATCCACGAGGGACTTGTCGATACGTATACGCTATGTCGAACCGTGAACATGGTTTTATTCCGTGCTATGTCCGTGCTATCGCGCGCAATACTATTTGACTGCGATTTTCACGTTCGAGAGTGGTTTGGTTTGGTGCAAAATTGGCTCATTGGACCGAGTTAAGTTAGTCCATACGCCATTCTAGAATATAAAGAACATATAAAGACTTCTACAGCAAAACATAGTACGCTATGCTTTGCTTTGCTTAAAATAAAAAAATTATGTTGTCGACTGAAGAAGACCGAAAAACGATACTTCCTTGACGACGGTTACGTTGGAACTCGCGTTCGAGAGTGTTTGCGCGGTGCCAGCACATAATACATATTTGAAAAGAAGTCAGAATCGACCAAATAACCTCATGGTTCGACGCGTTTTGACGAGCTCTAGGAATAAACAGTTTTACTTTTTCGATATTCCGCCTAAAACCCGAGATTTTCGCGGTACTTGCCCGGCACAGCGTAATTGAAAAATTGTCAGAATCGAGAAAACTGACTTTACGTGTTTGTGGCGCCAGTGCATTGTAAGCTTTATTTGGCTAAGATGAAATAAAATAATTTAGATTGTCGCATAATTCATTTTCTCCTATACATATATAAATATTTGTACCTTCTTTCAGAGGTAAACAGTTATTTATGTTTTGTTTTTCGTCGTTAAGTGCTTGATACTACCTGAGAGAAGACTGAGAGCGGCCGTGCCATTGTTGTTTTTTTTACGACGGTTTCCAGCCGCTACTTTCAGCGCCGGGTTTCCACTTTGTGCGTGGAACTCATGAACTACGAAACGAGTTCCACTTTCAGGCGCATACGATACAATTGTATTATCTCGGTTAGAGTCCGTGCTAGATCCCATTTCATTCGGTTTGAATCCGTGCTACATCACACTTTACTGTCGATAAAGTAGAACAGCCAACCATCGAGATCATCGGTGATACGGAGGTACGCACACAAACGAAACCGTGTTCGTGTGCGTGACGTCCAACGACATGAAATGGAACCCAACGCTGAATAACATAATAAATTTTGGCGAATTAAAATTATGTCAAGATATAATAATAATTGTAAAGTTTTATTACGTCGAGACGTGATAAAAATTTGATGACTTGAAAATATATGCTCTCAGTGCTAGATCTCAGTTGCTTGATCTTCCTCGACACTTGGGTCCTGTTCCGTTATTACTGGCAGTATTGAACGATCTATAGGATACGTTACGTGAATCTATAAATTTTCAGTACTGCCAGTAATAAACAGGAACAGGGGGTTGGACTCACAGTTGCAAACTCGAGCCGGCTAGCACCGAGAGCACCGAGGTGTTGGGAGCCACTGGGAACACGCACACAAGCGAGAACCGCCGTCCGTGTGCGTGGAACACACACACGGATGGCGGTTCTCGCTTGTGTGCGTGTTCCCAGTGGCTCCCAACACCTCGGTGCTCTCGGTGCTAGCCGGCTCGAGTTTGCAACTATGGTTGGACTCGTCCATATAGAACAAAAGAGAATCGCATGTTGTGCTTTACCGCGCATTTCGCTATGTTCAAACTCGAGCAATCACGAGTAAGTTCCACTTGGCGCAACAATCGCGAGCTTAGGTCGAGTTTACAATACTCTGTTGCATTGGTCACTTTACCAAACATAATCAATGCGATTGGACAATGTGGACGCGACCTACGCTTGCAATTGGTACGAGTGACAACAAACACTGAAACTTTCTCTGCAACCGACGCGGCACTCGAGAGGGAACTTCTATCATTCAAATCAGGTAATTTTCATTATTTTTGTCATTTTTCACGTAACTAATCGTGATATGCATGTACCACAAAGTGTCGGACGTTTGAAACAACAAGTATTTAGTACCGCACACGCGTCGAAAACGATGCAAGGCTGTCAAAGTGTTTTTCGCGGCAGTAGCATTTCCAAGAACACGGTAGAGCACTTCCAGGAACACGATAGAGCATTTCCAAGAATGGTCAGCGCAAGTACGTTTCTTTTCCAAGTGTTTTGTTATTTCTTCGCGTTTGTTGCTATCTAGCGCGCGAATATCGGTAGTTCGCGAAAATTAATACATGTCGCATAGTGACGGGTTTACGCATTGATAAGTTGTATCGCAAGTAGAGCTTGCCGTCCGTCCTCTTTTCTCTGAACACCGTCTTTTTCTTAGAAATGCCGAAGACGGGTGGATTTTGCAAAGACGTCCGCGGTGATTTATGCTCGTCCGGTGTTTTAGGGAATCTTGGTGGTAAATATTTTACTTTATTTCTCTCGCGTTACTCCGAGGTTGGATAGCTATCCGTCCTCTTTTTTTCCCGGACATTTGATGGCAACCCTAATCGCAAGTGATAGTGAAGCATTACAATCAATTATGGCGCGGCCATTTTTTTTGTCAGTAATATTACGAATTCGTATTACGTCTTGACTATGAATTCAATTCACATATTGAAAATTCATACTCTTTTTGTAAATGTTTTGTATATTATAATTTTTATATAGTAGAGAAACAAAAAGTTACATGTACATATAGATGTATACATATTGAATTAATTGTAATAAATATGTTTACATATTTTTTACAGAGTCCAGAATTAGAAGGCAGTGTAGGACATATCAAACAGTGTGTACAATTTGTAAACAAGAAAATGCATTATAAATGTAGAATTACTTGCAATTGAAAAAGTGTGAACCATGGCCTTTACTCGACTTATTTCTTACAATTGGAGTGTGATTCCGGGAAGAAGGTACGTTTACATTTATTTATTTTGATAATCAAATTTTTATTTGTTTATATTTATGTAGATTTTTCTATTAGCTGGCTGAAAGAAGAAAAGTGCAACAAGTGCAATGATCTGATTTCAAGTGATACTGTGGATCTTTTAAGAGGAAGAGAATCTTAAATCGGTAAGCTGAGAACAAATTTTCTGCGATTGTAGTTCACAGTTTACGACAATGGATATTTATTGATGAATAAACGCGACGAACGTTCGAATCCGCAACAACTATTAGCCACACTAGTGTATGACACTAATGTTTTAGATTTTAAAGGACTATAAAATGACGGTCGTTAAACCGGGAATGACTTCCGATCAAAAGAAGGTGGAAATTTGTTCGCGAGATAAATCAGAAACATTGCTTAGTAAGCGTAACAATAAATATAAATTTGAGTATAAATTTTACTATTAAAGCAATATCGATCAGATCTAAAATGAGAAGAATAGAAATTTAAAAGTTTGTTAACATGTTAAAATATTATGCAACATAATATTACCACGTTGTTTATGTTAAACATATATAAGATATGGAATGGCCATTAAATATGAAATTAAATATGAAATTTCCTCTTTTATGCTTTTTCAGAATGCTGGAAATTGAAACATATGAATAGTTTAATAGAATTACACAATAAGACGCCTGTATGGAATGATGACACAATCATATGTGCTAAACTTTCATGGAGTAATTTAGGCATCTGTAAAAAATTTTCAAGTTGTTCATGATGGTAAGACAATGATGGGAATATTTAAATATTTCTATTTTATATGCTATATTTATATATAACTGAGAAATATCATTCAGCCTCTATCGATTCATATATTTATAAATTTATTAAATTTAACTTATACTGATGAAATGTAATCTAATTTCAGTGGACTATATTGTAATGCAGTTTTGTCGAGTCTTTGAGGATGTTTTTACAATGGATTACAGATTTCCTCTTTGTACAATCCAAGCATTTGCCATTGTTTTGAGTAGTTTCGACAATAAATTAGCCTGTGGATAATAACAAGGCCGATCGATCGTGAACAATCAAGTAAGTATTATATGTACTTGCCTCCAAATTATATTACTTTTATTTTTTTTTTTTTTAAGTAGTTACCTTTCTAATGGACAATCAGTAGGATTACGTGATATCACTCTGATTCGGGTACAAGACGTTATCAAACTGTTACAAAAACTCGATTGCATAAAATGAGAAGTGATATATGTACGTGTTCACTCTTCTGTACTTTATCATAACACGAATATATTTACAAATATTTCAGATTCATTTTTATCATTCAATTTTTATTTGGCTTTTTGTAATAATAAAATATATTTAAATTATCATTTATTGTTATATTACGGGAAAGTGCAAAAAACGTTCTTAAAACATTAGTTGTTATATAGCCTACAAATAGGTATGATATAATTTTATTAGAGTGTTTTTCGTATGTTCTAAAGCATCACAGTTAGTCGTTTTATTATCGATAATATAAAATTTCAAAGAACGTAACTATAATTCTTATAAAAAGAAAA